CGGGGACGAGGCCCATCTGCGCGCGGCTGCAGCCGGACGCACTGACCACGCAATGAGTCCCCAACACTTCGACTCCGGGCGGCCAGCTGTGGTTCCCGCCAGAGCGTTCAAAGACCTCACGCGAGAGTAGGAAATGTCGCTGGGAGCGGCTGGGGACGAAGAGTGACGGGAAGGCGAGATAGCGGAACCCGCCCCAGGTTCCGCGCGTGCGCAGAAACCGAGACAGCCCTCTTCCGGCTCCAAGTAGGATATCTGCGGATGCGGAGGTGAGGACGGAAGTGGAGTTGCCCCTAGGCATGTGGGGCAAGCAGAATCCCGGATCCAAGGGCTAGACACCAGGTCCGCGGAGCTGGGCTGGAAGTGAGGAGGAAGAAAGGCAACCTCTGGTGGGCATGGACCGGAGTCCGCCAATGGGAGACATTCCAGGGTTCGTTCGGGGAAAACACATATTCTAGGTTTTGCTCAAAGGATGAATTGACATCTGCCCGGGGGAGGGCAGCAATACAGGATCTGAAGGGAGACAGTCGGGGATCTCCCAGGGAGAGGGCTGCGTTCTCATCTATTAAAGCTCATACCTGGGAGCTCCCACTCAGCAGGCTTGTGTACTGATGTGTCCACGATGACAAGGTGGGAAATAAAGGGGAGAACAAGGATGGAAATAATTTTCAGTGATTGGTTATGAGAAAGATTTGCAGTGCCTTCCGGAGGGAATCAAGCCTTATATATACTTTTAAAAAAATAGAATATTTTAGATTGACACAGGTAGAAATAAAACTATACTACATGTGTACTTGCCACTCAATTGGAGAAATCAATTATCATATCAAGTAATTGAAGTCCTTTGTCTGCTCCACCAATTACATTCCATTCCCTCTTGCCCAGGATGACCACTTTCCCAAGCAACTGTATGTTTTAATTTTTAATTACACATGCAGTGTTGTTTTGCGTATTTTTAGCAGTCAGTAATGTATATATCCTTTTACAGCTTTCTTTTACTTAATGCTTTTGAAGATTTGTCAGTGTTATGTAACTTTCCTTCATTCATTGCTACAGCTGGACACAAGTATTCCCTTATATGAATAAATCAGTATTTGTTTTCTTGCTTTGCATCCCCAGTACCTGACACATTGTAAGTGCTTAACTGTTGGTTGAATAGATGAATGCTGTAGCATTTGAGCTAAATCCTAAATAATTAATAGGATTCCAAATGACTTAAGGCAAGAAAAGCATTCCAGGCAAAGGGAACATTAATCTGAACAAAAGCAAAAATGTGAAACTGCATGAGGTATTTCAAGAACTTCCATAGTCTTAGAACTTAAAATGTAGAATTGTATGGAGATATGTGATGAAAGAGAAACTTAGAAAGATAAGATGAAGCTTAGATTTAAAGAATACTATCTGAGGATTTTACACTAGCTCACAGCCATTTTTGAATTATGAGGAAACTGATCAGAGCTGTATTTTTAGAGGATAATATTCATAGCACCATGAAGATATGTCTAAGAGGTAAAAATTAGTGGCAGGTAATTAAAGACCTCATAACAATAATGATCATTGCATTAAACATGTAAGTCAATCATGCAGACTCACTTAAAATTTGGAAACAATTTCCTAGTTCATGGTATCCCTTCCCTAGACAACTATTTCATACCGTCTATCAAACTTGCAACGTTTTCTCCTGCCTCCCGCTTAGCTGATTCCTTACATCCTATTCCAGAAAAGGACTTTCCCATGCTTTCATCCTCACATCTACAAAATCTATACCGTAATACACTCCCTGTGCTATCACTGTAAGTAAGTTGTTTGAGGAGAGAAAGCCCTTTAAGAATACTTTTTAATACTACATTCTGAAGCATAGCCAATTATAAACTCACATGACTGGATTGAAATGGGAACAGTAAAATATGAAAGAACAGAATGATTAGAAGACAATTGTTTTGTCTAAAAAATGTAAAGAACCCATACCTATAGTAATATAAATGAGATGTTAGTTTTTTTATGTGAGTTTCTTATGTTCAGGTAGATTAGGTATTGAGCTTTATATGCTAAGTCTAAATATGATTGATATTTATGTTTTTATAAGACCATTGTTTCTCCTATGTAACATAAGTATTTTATTTTGAAATAGATGTTTGATGATCCTATTTTAAATAATATATCAGCCTTTGTCTTACATGTTACCAAATTGTATGTTCAGTAACATAATTTTCACTTACTGATAAAAATAGAATGCACAGCCCTAACTGGTTTGGCTCAGTGGATAGAGCGTCAGCCTGCGGACTGAAGGGTCCCAGGTTCGATTCCGGTCAAGGGCATGTACCTTGGTTGCGGGCACATCCCCAGTGGGAGGTGTGCAGGAGGCAGCTGATCAATGTTTCTCTCCCATCGATGTTTCCAACTCTCTATCCCTCTCCCTTCCTCTCTGTAAAATCAATAAAATATATTAAAAAAATAGAATGCACATTGTATGACTTAGTACAGGTGTTAATTTATTCTCTCATTCTTTCAAATATATTTATTGAGTGCCTACCATATAATAAACACTAGTGTAGGTAGATAAAAAGATACATTAGTGGAAATCACTAGCCTGAAACCATATCACATGACTGTATTAGTGCATCTTGATATATAAGAAATTTTCAATTGCAGGCATTCAGTCTAATAAGTCACCTTAATTCGAGTTATTTCCTAAAGGATGCCTAAGCTAGATGCACAGCATCATAGCTCTGAAGTATGGTTATATATCCACAACAATCAACCTCAATGCACACATCTTAAGCATTAGTGCATTACACTCAATTTATGTGAATGACGTGATGTATAGGCACATCCTGCTGTAGCCTATAATGCAAATGTAGGTTATATGCAAATACTATGCCATTTTATTTAAGGGACTTGAGCATCCATAGATTTTGGTGTCTGGGGGTGACCTAGAACCAATCCCACATGAATACTGCAGGACAACTTTATGTAGTGAATGAGTTCTACTCCATCATGGCTTGCTGTATTCAGCTTTATCAGTGTACTTTGCAATTCCGAATGCCAACTTGCAGGTTTTACTGACATAGTTTTTCTTTTTAAATTTGTTTTTATTGATTTCAGGTAGAGGAAGGGAGCGGGAAAGAGAGATAGCAGCATCAATGATGAGAGAGAATCATTGATCAGCTGCCTCCTGCACGCTCCCTGCTGGGGATCAAGCCTGCAACCCAGGCATGTGCCCCAAACAGGAAGTGAACCTTGACCTCCTGGTTCATAGGTCGATGCTCAACCACTGAGCCACACCAGCCAGGCTGACATAATTTTTCTATTTACTAATCTGTGCTGAGGAGGTTTGCCTTACAGAAATAGGCTTAAGCCTATATAACAGAGTGATGAGGAGCTTCAGCACCCATGAGCTTGGATTTTGTAAAGGTCCCCAGAGCTGACAATGATAATGCTCTGTATTGTAACGCTCTAATGTCACGTCTCTGTTCTTATTCCTAGGTCAAGGATGCATTTCAAGAAAGTACTGAAAAATATATCACCAGCTCCCACCTGATAGTTGACCTAGCCATGGAAAACCTCATTGGAGCCTCACTAAATCAGACCATAACTGGCACTCTTAAAAACTCTCCCATCAAAAAGTATCAGGAATGACAATCTAAGATATAGATCTACCACTTCAAGAAAGCTGTACCAGTCAGCAGCCTAACAGATCAGCTAGTTTCTTTGGTCATCCAGCAGACATGCTCAAGCTACCAACACAGCAGTGGAAAATGTCTCTATATGAATGTTTTGCACATTATGTGTGTGACCCATTAGATTCACAGTGGTTCTCAACCTGTGGGTTGAGACCCCTTTGGGGGTCGAACGACCCTTTCACAGGAGTCGCCTAAGACCATGCTGCATATCAGATATCTACATCACGATTCATAACAGTAGCAAAATTACAGTTATGAAGTAGAAACGAAAATAATTTTATGGTTGGGGGTCACAACATGAGGAACTGTATTTAAAGGGCCAGAAGGTTGAGAACCACTGCATTAGAAGGTCATGAAATCAATTCTGTGAGTCATGATGAATATTTTTTAAAGACAAAAGAAAATTATAAATTATCAGAGTACTTTCCATAAATCCTTTGTGAGAATTGTGCACATTGCAAGAAATACTAAGGAGAGTTTCAATATGTGAAAAGATATTTGATGGAGGGGATATGATGAATAGAATGTATATTGGCTAAAACATGGTTTTGTCAGTCATTTGTCCACTGGTGTCTTGTTTGGTTTTCATAATAAGGTTGATGTGCAGTATAGCTTTATATTACCATGACTTGTAACTAGATGTGAAGTCATTGAGATTCAGTTGAAAACTGCATTGTTAAAGGTGTTATCTAGGCTACAGATGTATACATATATATCTTTGAGTTTGTGTTAATTACAATGTTTTAATCAAAATTGCTTTTTAAAATGAATCATTTCTTTTTTAAAAGAAAGAGGAATAATGAAGCAAAATATGCAGAAGCATGTTCAGGTTCAAATGTTGGATCTGGAAATGTGAATAACAATAATATTGAGAAAAATATTGATTCTAATCTGAAAATTTCAATTTCATTTGAGCCACATTTCAAAAAGAAAAAAGTAAGTGCAAGACAATATAATGAAGATGATTTAAAATATGGTTTTATCAAATGTGAAAAACCCTTTGAAAATGACAGACCTCAGTGTGTTATTTGTAACAATAGTCTTGCAAACGAAAGCTTAAAACCTCCCAAATTAAAAAGGCACTTAGAAACTGAGCAATGCTGAACTTACTGATAAACCGCTTGAATATTTTCAAAGAAAGAAAAAAGATGTAAAGTTATCGACACAATTTCTCAGTTGTTCTACTTCTGTCAATGAGAAAGCCTTATTGTCATCATATTTGGTTGCATATCGTGTGGCAAATGAGAAAATGGTTCACACAGCTGCTGAAAAGATTTATCCTTCCAGCATGTTTGGATATGGTACATACAATTTTTTATGATAAATTAAAAACTATTCCTAGTGATAACACAATATTTCTTCGAATTTGTGCTATTGCAGAACATTTAGGAACAATCTTATGTCCCGGTTGCAGTCTGGTGTAGATTTTTCCATCCAGCTTGATGAGAGCACTGACTTTGGGAGTTGTATAACACTTTTAGTTTATGTCAGATACGAGTGTCAAGGTGATTTCATGGAGAATTTTTTGTGTTGTTTACATTTTACTTCAGACCTAAGTGGATTAGACATTTTTACAGAGTTAGAAAAGTGCATTGTTGGTCAATATAAATTAAACTGGAAAAACTGCAGAGGAATTATAAGTGACACACAGCAAACATAACTGGAAAACAGAGTCATTAAAAAATTGCTAGAAGTCCTTTTTTTTTTTTTTTTCGGAGAACCGAAGATGGCGGCATAGGTTAACGCCAGAGATTGCTGCCTTGAACAACCAATTCAAATTAAGCTTGAACCAGGGAACGGACAACATCCAGAGCCACAGGAGGGCTGGCTGAGTGGAAATTTT